CCACACAGTAAGGGTTCTGCCTTCTTGTCTACACATCCGGGTTGTAGCATAAGGTGAATTTTTTTTTTCATAAGGTGAATTTTAAGATTGTTCTGCATGATGATTATCGCACTCAGGTTAGAGATGTGGCAAAAATGTCCCTAACTGAGGCCAGCTAACATTGCCTTTTGCTAAGACTACTGCAACTGAGCATTGGTTTTTAGCTTTGCTTTTCCAGACATTGAATTTTACCAGTACAGCCCAGATTAAGCAAATGTGTTGCTGTACATTAACGTAGAATGAAATCATACGAATTAAAATGAGACCTAGAACTGCCAGAGAGACTGATTCTTATCCCTTGGTCATTTTCCAGTGGGTTGCCTGATTCCAGCAACCACGGCAAGGAGACCTGAGTGCAGGATCTTGGTGAATTTTATCAGCCATCTGATAGCCTGATGCGTACGTGTCTAGTGAAAGGAATTTCCCATCGTGAGTATAATATGTTCTTGCTGATTTGTTTCTATGATCAGGCTTCTGGGTGACACTAGACTCAGTGATCCCGAACTCTGGCTGAAACTTGGCATTGCCTGTGGAGATTGTTAAGATAATAGATGGCCACGTCTCCTCCACCCCTAGTGAATGCAATAAATCTCCAGAACCTTCAGCAATTTTGTTAAACTTTTACCAAAGATTCTGGTCCATGGGTGAGAGTTGAAAATCACTGGACCAAATCTTTGCAGCTAGGTGTTGGCAATCCCTTTAGGCTGGCTCTGTTGGTCATGGATTCTGTACTTGTGTTCCAGGTTGGCTGAAGTAAGGTCCTGCACGAGGAGCCAACACCCTATTATTCCTCCATTACAATCCTACCTAGAGATGCTCATCTTTGAAGGCAGGTGAGTAGTGAGTACGTTCCCTGAATTTCTGTAGAGGCCTGGAGGTGGTGGAGACAGATGTTAAAGGAGCGATGCTCAATTCCATCAGGAAAAGCATTTCTTTAGGTCAGATCAGATGTTTGACAGGCTAATAATTGTTTCCCAAGGGATCCCTGGGTGGCGCAGCAGTTTGGCGCCTGCCTTTGGCCCGGGGCGCGATCCTGGAGACCCGGGATCGAATCCCACGTCGGGCTCCCAGTGCATGGAGCCTGCAGAATTCTCCCTCTGCCTGTCTCTGCCTCTCTCTCTCTCTCTCTCTCTCTGTGACTATCATAAATAAATAAAAGTTTTTCTAAAAAAAAAATAATTGTTTCCCAAGACACATTTTTTCGATTCTTCCTTTGAGTACTAAACTACACTCTCTGGATTCCTTGCCTTAAATGTGTCCTTGGCACTAAGTTCTGGCAGCGTGATGTGAGTCGAAGAAGTGGGAGCCAATTCCTAGCCATGTTTCCTTCAAAGACAGCTGGTGTCTCTCCTCATTTTCCATTCCGGGCACTGATGAACCCACAGGTGCATGGTGAGCTGGCTGCAGCACCTGCGCAAAGGCAACACCTTAGAGCGCCAGATGCGGTACATTGGCCACCTGGGAAGAGCCCAGTCCTTCAGTGATCACACAGAGCACAGCTGCCTTCCCGCCTCAGACAAGCTGCCTTCCCTGGATTCTTACGGGAAGGAGAAGTGGACTTTTATCTGTCGAGGTGCTGTATCATAGGAGTCTTTGCGGTGTCACATTCCTCTGTGCCGTAATGACAACAGAAGCCTACGGGACCAGTCGTCTCAGATCTTTACTTGCTTGTTGCATCCCTGTCACTAAACTCATCTCCAAAATGCCAGAGTCAGAATGTCAACAAATGAGATACTAACAGACTTTCACTGTTCATTTGTCTAAATGTGCCACCTAATGTCTTTAGGTGGTAATAGATTTTTTTTTAAAGATTTTATTTATTTATTCATGAGAGACACACAGAGAGAGGCAGAGACACAGGCAGAGGGAGAAGCAGGATCCCTGCGGGGAGCCCAACATGGGACTCGATCCTGGGACCCCGGGGTTATGATCTGAGCCAAAGGCAGACGCTCAACCATGGAGCCAGCCAGGTGCCCCACATCATACATTTTTAAAGGAGAATACCAAATGGGTTTATTTTGGTTAAGAGACAAAGATGGTATGTATTTTTTCCCTATTCTTTTTTTTTTAAGATTTTATTTATTTATTCATGAGAGGCAGAGAAAGGGAGGCAGAGACACAGAGGGAGCCTGATGTAGGCCTCAATCCCAGGACACAGAGATCATGACCTGAGCTGAAGACAGATGCTCAATGGACTGAGCCACCCAGCCGTCCCTTCCCTACTCTTACAAGTGCTGTTGCCTACAGTCCTTCACTGAGTAATTAAAATTTTAAATGAATTTTGCATCACCACTTCACACCCACTAGGATTGTTATTATATATATATAAAAAAAGAAACTGACAGGTTTTGGTGAGGATTGGACAAATTGAAGCCTTAGTGCGTGGCCGGTGAAATGTAAAGTTGTGCAACTGCTATTGAAAAGAGTGTGCTGGTTTCTCAGAAAATTAAAAGAAAAAAAAAGAATTATTTTATGATTCAGCAGCTTCACTTCTGGGCATAGACCCAAAAGAATAGAAAGTAAGGACTCAAACAGATATTTGTGCATCCTTGTTCATAACAGCATTGTTTGCAAGGCCAAAAAGTAGAAGTGACCCAAGTAAGCGTCCATCGATGGATGAATGGATAAACAGCATGTAGTGTAAACATCTAATGGAATATTATTTAGCCTTAAAAGGGAAGGAAACTCTGACATGTGGTACAACACGGGTGAACCTTGAAGACATGATGCTAAGTGGAATAAGCCAGGCTCAAAAGGACAAATACTGTGTGATTCTATTTACATGAAGGATCTAGAGTAGTCAAATTTATAAGGGACAGGAAGTAAAATGGGACAGTTATTGTTTAATGCATACAGTGTTTCATTCTGCAAGATGAAAAATTTCTGGAGACAGCTGCGGGGCTGGTTGCACAACCGTGTGAATGCACTTACTGCCGCTGCAGTATGCACTTAAAAATGGCTAAAGCAGTAAATTGTATGCTATATATATCTTACCACAATTAAAAAAATTACTGTTGTATCATATCAATGGATTCTTTTTTTTTCCTATTTTATTTATTTGACAGAGAGTGAGTGAGCACAAATGGGGAGTGGCAGGCAGAGGGTGAGGAAGAAACAGGCTCCCCACTGAGCAGAAAGCCTGACTTGAGGCTGGATCCCAGGACCCTGGAATCAGGGCCTGAGCCCAAGGCAGATGCTCAACCAACTGAGCCACCCAGGCACCCCTATCAGTGGGTTCTAACATAAAGAATAAATTGTGCTGTGAGTCAAGGTTATGGACAATATTCATCACATTAGTTTGGTATTATTGAAGAGCGAATGCTAATGGAGACTGGATGACAATCTTTTGAAATCTTACGATGGGTAAAGCTGAAAATTATGGTTTTGATCTATCTTAAGGAATCCAGCGGATAGAGGCTGGGATCTGGATTTTTTTTTTTTGCAATACTAGATTAAAAAAAAAAATCCATGTAAATAATCCTTGTTCTAGTTCCACGATTCTAGTTATAGGTTGTGTATGGATCAGATCATTTATCTGGAGAGGAGATAACATCATGATGATTTCATGCCTTCTTTACTGTACTATATCCAACTCTTACAAATATATTGTATACTGTATAGTCCCAAGATAGGTGGAATGAGCACAGCCCAGGTGAGATGGCCCATAGCACGTGCCCAGGCTAGCCTACGTGCAGAACTTCTTTGGCTGGTGTATAGGAGGTTGACTTTTAGAGCGTGTCGTGAGATTTCTAAAGTTTGATGGGATCCTCATTCATTCAGACATTACAATCAAAAGTCACAAGCTTCCATGTGAAGAGCAGTTTGATTTCCTGGTATTTTTTCCCTAGTCACCGAAATGGTATCTGGCAGTACTTGGCTCTAGGCCCTTATTTACGTCAACTGGTTGATCAAGTAAGCTCTGAGCTCTGAGTCTGAAGAGAAGAACAAAGACTGGGGAATAAATGAGTAGATTGGGTTTCAGTGCAATGTGCAAAAGTAATAGACACTATCCCTGCCATCTCCCTTCACTACTTCTTATCCCATTTTCCATGAGTTGTTGAGAATCATAGTTAAAGGATATTAAGGAACTTCACAGACACAGGGAGAGAAATTATTACCTGTACCGGAAAGACAGATTTCCTTTATCATACAGATTCTCCAGCCTTTTCTGGAAGTGGCGTATTCTCAGATGAAGCCACATCTACTGGCAAGTGAGGAAAGGAACTGTAAATAAATGTGACTGTGCCAGAAAGCGAGGAATTGTTTGGGGTTTTGTGAACAGTGATGTCTAAGCTAAAGCCAAAATGTGGGAATCTACAAACATAGCATTGGACAATTGAAAAGTACGTCGGGGAGCTTGCTATCCCGAATGTTTAGAATCTACTAAACATTCTCTACTAGAATCTACATCTTCAGATTCTCATTGAGCATTGTGTTGTATGGAAAGAACAGAACAAGTGAAATGTCCACAAATATAGTACTGGAAAGTTGAATCGCACAATTTCTTGAGGAGCTTCAGGTTCATTTCATTTCAAATTATGCTACAGAGAAAGGCAGTTCCAAACCCCAAAGCCCCACATACTGACTTCACTAGGTCAATGCACTTTATTAGTTCTACTCAACTAAGGGTTCACATGAACACAACGCAGGAGGAGTACACTCCAGACGACCATTTCCTGTTTCTCTTGGAGCTGGCTCTCTGTCACTGCAGGCATTCATCCTCATAACACACTCAAAATGTGCTAAAGTACTTGACCTGTTTGAAACCACTTCTCAGAGCGCCATCAACCAACTTAGCCCACGTTGCTTTTGCATGGTGTTAGGAGAAGAAAGGGAGATGGTGGATGACTAAAATGAATGGGATCAAAATGAGCATTCTCGATTTTGACCTGCAAGGATCAGTATGGAGAAGGTTATATCCTCCTACTCTTGACTTCTTAGAGAATATTCTTTTAGAATGGCTACTTTTTTGCATTGTGGTAGATGTTGGCTTTCACATCATTATCCAGAGCCATAATATCATCTACGTAAACAGGAACAATTTCCTGAATATTATTTTGCCATCGACAAGTAATAAGGACATAGCCCTGCCTATAAAAAGAGTCATATTCACAGTCTGTCATTTTAGCTCCTCCTGTTAAATTACAATAGACTCCTTCTATTACTTCCTTGCTCCTGTGACATTTCTTAACTCCATTCTTACAAGGCACATTTAAGTTTTTACAGGTCTTTTGCACGTCCTCATATGCTATTTGGAGGAAGAAATGTTCTCTGACACAACTGAAATTGTTGTGAACGTTTTTCATCTTGATTTCTTCAGTACAGTAGGCTGAATCAGTTAGTGGTCTTCCAGGATCGATAATAATACGTCTTAGGAAAGTATCTTTGGTAGGAGGTTTGGCAGGTCCTGGGCTGTATATGTCCCCCAAGTAATCTTCAAACTCTTCTAGCTTTTCATCTGTGAAATCACCAAAGTTCTTCAGAATTATAAATTGCAGTGGCTGCATCATCAGCAGGAGCAGCAGAGCCAGGGGCTGCATGGTGAGCAGAGTCCACATGTCCTTTTGCGGAGACTAGGAGAGATAAGGAGATAAGTTCCACTGCCACAGTGTGTCTGCTTTTGTTCCTCAGCCACATTAACTCCTGCTGTTCTGAGCTCTAAGACTTCGGACAATTTTCAAATTGACAACTCAGAATATATTTCAATATTTCTGAAACATGGACTGAAAAGTAGCCCATGGTCAGCCTGGAAGACTGTGGACGTGAGAGGAGAAGGTGAAGGGAGAAGGGAGAGAAAAGGAGAGAGGAGGAAACAAGGAAGGTGAGGGGTGGAGGGCAGGCAGGAGGAGACAGGAACCCAAGGCGGCCGTTGGGGAGAGAGGCTGAGAGGAGGCTCCTGGGCTCTCACCCTCTGGAACAGAAGCCTCCCTCCCCTTCTTGGGAGTTGGGAACCTGCTCTGCAAAGAGCCTCAGTGACCCCCACACCCACACTCCCTGTTCCGGGAGGACAAAGATTCCTCATCTTGTGACTTCTCTTTCTGCCTGGACTACAGATGCCTGGGGAGAAGGGATGGAGCCAGGTACACGGGGTCAGGGATGGAGCCAGGTGGGGGGGTCAGCGGAGCACCACCTGCTGCTGCTTCAGGCGCTTTCACGGCCACCCCTTCGCCTGGGGCTGCTTGGTCCCCTGGGCGGCCTCTTTTGCCTCTCCGGAGAGCTGCAGCGCACCCCGTACCCTGTGGGGTTCCCCATCCTTCCTTGTTCTCTTTGGTAGGCTTCCTAGGCTTCCTGTTTCCGGGGTGACCAGGCTTCACATCCCCAATCTCTCTCCACCCTGCCTCGAAGAACTATTTTAAAGCATTCCTTGCGAGAGCCTGAGCAGTAGCACCGTGTGGCAGGAACGGTGCCCTGCTGCTGGACAGCAGGGCAAAATCGGCCCCTCTCCGGCCAAGTGTCATCTTTCACAGAGAGCCCCAGGGCCTAGCTATCGTTTTCCATTTCTAGTCCAAAGCTGGCTGCTAAGCATGAATTCTCCAAAGAGGCTTTCCTCCCAGAGAGAGGCAGGCACCTGAGGTATGCTGGGGAACAGGCTTCCAGAGCCACCTCTGCCCATGGCCTCTTTACCGCTCTCAGTCTTTGGGGTGTCTGGGCCCCAGAGAACGGTTGTTTCTAGCTCTGGCTGGAGAGGTCCTAACACTGAGGGTATTGGCCTCCCCTGCGAGCGCAGGAGCTTGGAGTGGAAAGGGACGAAAACAAGTCTGAGCAGCTGAATACATGCAGTCTTGGGGTCACCCCAAAATAAAATAACAATAACAAATAATCACGGCTAGCATAAGGAGCGGTGATGGGCCCCCCTGTGCTAAGCGCTCTCGTGCACCATCTTCATCAGCCGAACGACCTTTGATAAACAGGTTGCTTTTTAGTATTGTTTTTGGTTCTATTGTAATTAGCCTCTCTTGGTGACGGGAAGTCGCTGAAAACCTTACGCTGGCCCCAGCAGCAGCCTGGGCAAGCCCGGCTCACGGGCCCTTCTGACGGCCCGTCTCTTCGCTGCTCTAGGGCCCGCACTAGTCCGGCTTCCCCTCCTGGGGCTACTGTGTCCCTCCTCTGCTGTCCTCGTAGCTCTACCAGAAACCGCAAGCGCACGGCCAGGTCTAGAACTGTCCCGAGCCCTTGGGGGCGCCGCGGGGAGGACCGCCGGCCGAGGCCTAGCTGCGCGTAGCAGGAGCAGGTTTTCTTACTCCACAGCCTTGGCATCAGGAAGTCCCCCCTTAAGGCCACCTGAGGGGTTCCCATTACTCGTGACCCAGACACTCTGACTTACGTGGAGATGGAGACAGAGAGCCCCTGATTCCAGGATGGATCCGATCGGTGTCGACGTGAGCAGTCAGAGGACGGAGTTCAAGAAAGGCAGGTGTTGTGCACACCCGACGGAAGGCTGAAGCAGGAGAGGAGAAGTGGACTGGAAAGGAAAACCGGCGGGTGGACAGGGGAGGGGTGGCCCTCCCTCCCTGCCCTACTCTGAGCCCTCCCTCCCTCCCTGCCTGCCCACAAGCTCATCAGGCCACCCGCGGCCCAGGGAGGCTCTTCAGGAGAGCACCCCGTCATCGTGACCGTCCAGGGAGCTCAGCACACACTCCTGCAAGTGAGAACTTGGAGCCACTGAGGCATCTTGGGCTGTAGAGAACCGGACAGCAGGTGCATGGACAGTAGCTCAGGCTCCTGCCCAGGACACACCTTGGGCCTGTCTGCGACACCTCCTTGATTTTTTTAAAAAATATTTTTATTTATTTATTCATGAGAGAGAGAGGGAGAGAAGCAGAGGCACAGGCAGAGGGAGAAGCAGGCTCCCCAAAGGGAGCCGGACGTGGGACTCGATCCCAGGTCTCCAGGATCATGCCCTGGGCTGAAGGCGGCGCTAAACCGCTGAGCCACCCGGGCTGCCCCCTCCTTGATTTTTATAGCCTAAACTTTTTCTTCTTCTTTTTTTTTTTTTAGCCTAAACTTCTTAATCCTATAGTTATGAATTCAACTTGTAGTTTTTGTGCTTGTCAAAATCCTTTCTCATCCTGAAAGTGTATGCATTTTCGCTTATCCTATTTTACTACTTCTATGGATTTTTTTTTTAAAAGACTTAAGTCTTTTACACATCTGGAATTCATTTATTTTGAAGTGTGGTAAGAGATGGGTTTTGTTTTCACATGATTTGTCCATAACCCCAGTATCAGTTATTTGGGGAATGAAATCCAATCCACTGTCTCATCTCTTATTTATTTATTTAAACAAAACTTTTTAAAAAACAGTTGATGCTTAACCAACTGTACCATCCAGGTTCCCCTCTCACCTCTAACTTAAAAGTTACCTTATGGGGCCCCTGGGAGGCTTCATTGGTTGAGTGTCTGCCTTCGGTTCAGGTCATGATCCCAGGGTCCTGGGATTGAGCCCTGAGTCGGGCTCACTGCTCAGTGGGGAGCCTGCTTCTCCCTCTCCCCTCTGCTCAGGCTCTCTCTCACTATCTCTGTCTCTCTTTCAAATAAATAAATAAAACCTTTAAAAAAAAATAAGTTACCGTATATGTTAAATAATTCTGTACCTGAACTGTCTATTGTTTTTTGATGGTAATTTTATCTATTTGTTTGCCAGTGATATGCTTTTCCTTATTCTCATTTGACAAAATATTTTGATATCTAATAAAGCAAACCACATCCATTCCTCTGCTTGTTCAAAAACCAGCACAGAGAGAACAGAAAGTCGATTACTGGTTGCTTGGGGGCAGAAGAGAGGAATGGAGATGAGCAGGAAATGAGCAAGACAGACAGACAGATGGAAACAGAAAACACAGAACAGATGGCACCGAATCATGCTCAGGCGGTGTTTCTTAAGTTTTCACCTGGCAGCCTCACAGCAGAACCACCTGGCCTCCCTCTGGATTATAGATTTCTTGGTTTTTCCTCAGACCTCATGAATCAAAATCTTTGTGAATGGGCCCATAAATTTGCACGGTTAACAAATTCACAAGGTGAGTCATAGCCCACTAACGTCGGGGAAGCACTTCCTTATACCCATAAACATGTAACTGATGGTATAGAAAACATCCCCAAGTAGCGTGGAGAGTGTTAGGCCTTCTCAGCAAATGTTTTTGGAAAAAAATTGAGTTGCATTGCTTTTCACCTTTTGGCTGTTGTGAGCTGCTGCTTTGAAAGTGGGTGTACAAACATCTGGTTGGGTCCTACTTTTCCTCTCTGCTTGTAAACTTGCTTGGGAGGGTTCGGGCAGCTTAGGTTTATAGGTGGGGAAGAGCCTGAAAAAGACTGTGGGTCCCAGGCCTCTTCTATGACGCAGGTCCTGAGTCCCTGGTCAGGACTCTGTATTTAACCACTATTTTTTACAAAAGTAAAAGATTGAGAGGAGTCATGAGCCCCTTAGGTACACGAATATGTATTCCAGAGAGATTATTAAATGGTCTTTTAAAAGCAGATTATTTTTAAAATGCAAGATTTTGAACAGATCTTACAGTGGGCATCAATGGATTATGATCATAAAATACTTATATAGCTTTAGTCACAAAGGGAAAAACGAAAATTGTATCTTTCAAATTGCTGATAATCATACCTTACGAACTCAATGCTGGTGAGTGTGTATAGTGGGCAATCACACATTTGTGATTAGAATGAAAAAGTTGGCAAATATAACAAAAAGCTTTAAAAAGCTGATTAATTTTCTCTTGTTTTAATAGGATTCTTTTTGTTTTTGTTTTCTCTACAACTTTTTTCTTTGCATTTTTTTAATTGATTTTCCTTCACAATGGAGATAGAAGGATGATAAGAGTTTACAAATACTCTCAAAGTAGTAATTCTTTATATAGATACATAGTGGCAAATAAGAATGTTTGTAATTGTTAAGATTATTTTGAGGATACAAGGCCTATCTTTTGCCTACTTTATTTATTTATTTATATTTTTATTTATTTATGATAGTCATACAGAGAGAGAGGCAGAGACATAGGCAGAGGGAGAAGCAGGCTACATGCACCAGGAGCCCGATGTGGGATTCGATCCCCGGTCTCCAGGATCGCGCCCTGGGCCAAAGGCAGGCGCCAAACCGCTGCACCACCCAGGGATCACCTTTATTTATTTTTAAAATATTTTATTTATTTATTCATGAGAGATACACAGAGAGAGGCAGGGACACAGGCAGAGGGAGAAGCAGGCCCCATGCAAGGATCCCGATGTGGGACTCGATCCCAGGACCCTGGGGTCACACCCTGAGCCAAAGGCAGTTGCTCAACCGCTGAGCCCCCCAGGTGCCCCTATCAAAAGAATATTTTTAAAACAACATTAAGGATATTGAGACAAGTATATATAGTAGAATATTTTTCACAATTTTGGAGTTAAGAAAGGATGTCTTTATTAAACCAAACAAGAGCACAGCCACAAAGAAAATTATTGAAAGACTTGATTACAGACACACAGACTGAATTACATACCCATACACACAAGTACACAGAAACCTCACCCAAAACAGATAATATAATAATAATCCCTAATAACAAAAGACA